TCAATTGGCAGTAGAAACAAATGGACTCATTGGGATCAACGTGTGGAATGATCTCATAACGAGCCTTTCTTTTTACCATACAATCAAATGGTTTGACCTTGGTCGATCCCTTTCGATTGGGAAGAGAAATATCTTCTAGATTACCATCATTTCCATTGTCAACATCCATGGAACTCTTGGGATTAGATCCTATAAGCATTTCTACTTCAGTTGTGTTCTTAAGCATTTTTGTTTCAGCAACTATCAACATATGGGTCAGATCAATTAGGGTCAGATCAAGATTCCTCATATGAAAGTTCTTAACGAACTGACCATATAACTTAGGATGTGAAAGAAGAACCAAATCAATAGCTTGCTCCCTTGGGAATACGACACCCATCCTTTCCAGCTTATCAATGGATGATTTCATTTTTAAAACATACGTACACACCGAAATTCCATCTTGATGTCTACATGCCAATAAGGATTGACTAGTCTCATATCTTTCAACTTGAGGAAAATGTGATGTTGGGAGAGTCACGGGAGGATGAGGTGGAAGAGTTGAAGGAGGATGATGTGCATTTTCATGGATTAGCATACAGTTTTATATTTTTTTAAAGTAACTAGAATGGGATTTTAACAGAATGTTCTAGTACTTTATAGATTATACTTTTAATCTTTTATGTCATATCAAACCCGTCCGGCTAATGACCATCCACCATACAAAATAGTGGTGGGTGAAAAGGGCACTCATTCAACGGTCATTTTATAGGTCGTTTCCTTATACCCCTCTTATAGCATGGCTTTGTGAATGAGGCCTACAATTGATTCGACTGACTTTTCTTATACATGTAGTATTAAATGTTTTAATATATATATATATATATATATATATATATATATATATATATATATATATATATATATATATATATAAGGCTGTATTTTAAAACTTTTTTTAAAACACAAGGTTTATATATTAATTATCTACATTAATCATATAAGCAATTAATCAATTTAAACCTATCATAAATTTATAATTTTCTTTTAATTAAACTTATTATTAAATCCATAAGGATAATTAAATTTAATTAATCTTATAATTAAAAATTATCTATTCAATATTATGTCCTAATATTTATGGTTTTTATTTTAATTATATAATACATTCAAAAATCGAATTTTTGACATATTTAAAACAGATAAGTAGGAAAATTAACCACAAAAATCAGATTAGGCAGAAAATCCTGAAATTTCGTTTTGAGTTGAAGTCGCATCGTGACAGGCAGTGTGTCACAGCATGACCAACAAAATTTTCCAAGATTCGATTTTGTCAAGTTTATCTCATGTACAATAAATGCTAGACACACCTAGGCTTTAATACCACTGATGGGTTTTATAGGTTACAAAAACTATATGCTTGCGGAATTTCACTTTAACACTTAAGGGTACATGCAACCTAAAGGATTTATGACATACACTTTAAATGTAACATACTATAAATAAAAAAACTAACATGAACCCTAATATAATCAAAATACAAGAAATAGGGTTACATAACTTTGATTGGTTGTAGTAAACAAATCACTTCAATCCCTTGTGGTTGTTGGACTTGGAAAGCTTAACACCAAAAGGATGATGCCTCTAATGGCTCACACCCAAAACCAAAAACCCAAGAACGAAGAGGAGAGAGGAGAGATGAGGGAATTTTTGTCCACATGCCTATAGGGAATGTCAAGAACAAAATTTGCAAGCCAAGGGATCCTATTTATAGTTTAGGCAACTTGCAGAAAAAGCAAGATTTGAATCGGTTAAATAACAGATTTAATCATAATTCAAATCATTTCTTTTTATGCAACCATGAGGCTTCCAGAAACCCTAGAAGAGCTCCCAAAACCGTTCATGCTTGGATGGTTCCAGAATTGCCTCTTTTGTTCAACTATTGAACAATTACAATTCATCCCTTGCACCTTTAATTAATTCCAATTAATCTCGAATTAATTTTAAGTTAATGTTGATTAATAATTATTCAATTCTAATTGATTTCTCATTAATTTACTAATCATATAAATTAACAAATCAGTTATTTAACAACTGATCTTATATTAATTTATTAATCACATAATAAATTAACAATATCAATTTACTATTTCCATTTAATATACTAATTATATAATATATTAACAACTCATTTTCCCATTTGTTTATTAATCATATAATAGTCTAAGAAATTCTCTCTCTTTCTCTTTCTTTCTCTCCTAATATCATTTCAAGTTATTTTTTATTATGAGGGCAACCCAAAAAGGATTTTGCTTCTACTTACAAGTATATACCAATTTAGTTATGGGCTTAGTCACCTTAATCCAACAGGATCATCCTTGGTGCTTAGATCTAGCATGCAAGCCTCATTATCATCTTTTAGCAATTTCTTTAGACCTTTGTGAGTATTTAAGATTCAAGCTTTATGATTCCTTGTTGTTAGATCTACACTATTATCCATGATTCCTCGCGACTGTTTTGTCTGGTTGTTCCCATGACATGATCAAGAGTCATCCATGTCGTGGTTAGTATACACTAGTTGATTATATTTAATGCACTCGTGATTTTAAATTTATTTTATGTAATTATATTTGATCTAATTTTTTTAGGTGTAACTACAGCCACACATTCTTGCGTCTGCTCCTATTTATAATATCATATGGATCGGATGCATGATTTACAATATGACTATAATTCTTGATTTTATTAAGTTGTTTCTAAAAATTAATTATAACACATGAATTTAAATTGCGAGTCTTACAAAAATCATAGAATTTTTTCTTTTTTCTTTGAAAGGTCTGTTAAGAATTATAAATATTCTAAATTAAACAGTTGATATATGTTATTAATATAAACAATGCGAAAAATACATCAGCAGTGGTGATTGCAAAAACTTTAATTACAATAACCAAACATAGAGTTAATGATTTGTCCATAGAAGAAATTAAAACTCCTATCAACTAATCTCTTTTTTGTCAAACTAATTGAAAAACTAGCTTTTAACTTATAAGTTAGCTTATCAATAAACTAGGTCAATCTAACTTATAAATTACTTTATAAACTATAATAAACTATTTTTATAGTTTTATCAAACATTAAATTACAATAAGATAACTTACAAACCAACTTATTTTAGTTAAAACACAAATATTAACGTCACTACTTGTGAGACGCATGTATAACATGAGTTAATTTTTTTTTTTTAAAAGTTAAATATAAAGATCAAAATATTTGAGAACTTTGAATTTATAAGAAAATAAGAAAAATAATGAATTATTATAATAAAAATACTTTTTATCTTTTACATTTACAGAAATAATTTAAATAAATAAAAAATTAATTTTAGGAATTTTGAAATTAAAAAGTAAGTTAATTAATGAAATTGATATCCATTTATTACTACATTTAATAAAATTAATATCTATTTAATACTACATTAAAAAACTTTCATCTATTAGAGAGTATGTAATTTAAGGGAAAAAAGTTAACTATTTTTTGCTTTCTGAAATGTATGGCTAAGAATTGTTTTTCCGATCTCACAAAACAATAGGTTATCAAATGAACTACAACCCATATATATATACACACATGCATGCATACATACATGACATTTGGAAATAAAAAATTTAGACTTGTACAATATGAACCTACTAATGATCCTCCAATATGTGAAACTGTTTTATGATCGTTATTATTGACAATTATGTCTATGAGCATGTCGTATATAAGTTCTCCGACCCCGTCGACGATTTCGTGAACTTATTATCACATAAGGGAGGAGGGAGTCATTTCCTCCCAACCCATCTAAGCCCACTGCCACATCACTTTTTCTCTTTTATTTTTCTTCATCTTTATTAACCCACAACACACGGAAACTCTATCTTTTTGAACCCACTCAACTAACTCAATTAAAAAAATACAAAACAATCAAAGGTAAAATCTTAATTAGCAATAAAGTTATCGGCGGTATCATTCCCGTTTCAATGGATGGGTTGATTGGTTTCACTAACCCACTTCATCATCTCTCTCTACTTTCTCTTTCTCATTTTCTCTTGTACCATATGTTTTAAAACTTGTACCTTAGTTGTTTTGTATTTTTTTAATTGAGTGGGTTCAAAAAGATAGGATTTTCGTGTGTTGTGGGTTGGGAAATATGAAGAAAAAGAAGAGACAAAAATTGATGTGGCAGTGGGTTAGGTGTGTTAGGAGGGAACAACTCTCTCCTCCCTAATATGTCAAAAGCATTGGATTATAGTGGGAGTCAACACATAAATAAAAACCTTATGGAACAACATGAATGATATTACATGGGCCCATAAATCAATGATAAGAGGGTCATACCAAACATCAAGTCAAGAAATTCATTTGAAAATATCATGCATGGATTTTCAAAACAAGGTTTAAGCTTGAATGAGTAAAGGTGAAAACACGAGCAAAGATAGAAGATTGAAGCAGAGGCCGATTTAAGGGCAACACCAGCTTTTTTGTTCGCAGTGGAAAAAATTTTGATTTTTTGTTTACTTATTTTTCATGTATCGGCAACACCTATTTCATCTTGACAACACCTATTATATATTCATGCGTCCGCCCCTATTCATGCTTACATTTATTCAAGTAAAAAGTCTAAAAATCAACTATTTTGCAGATGATTCGGTTATATTGATTCAAGTAATAAATATTCCAATGCGTACATTGCTTTCACACTTACATCCCTTCACTAAAAAAGATTATGTCGCTTCTTGATTCACGTATGTTAAGACCGGAGGGTGTGGGTGGGAAACTTCTCTCACTTTTTGTGGGCCACAACACCCTTTCTCTTATTTTCCTTTCCTTCACCTAAACCCAAGAAATTGGTGGGAAGCTTCCCTCATTATTTATTTTTTTATTTTTTTAAATAAAATTAATTGATTTTAATGATAATTGGAATATAAAAATATAGTATCTATTTTGTAATTTTCGAAAACTATTTTTGTGAAGAGAATTCAGAATTGGGGTTTATTTTGCCATAAAACCAAAACATAGGGGCCAAATATGCCTTTTCCGGAAACTTCTTCCTTCTTCCTCGATGAACCTGCAAACTCAAAAAATAAAAAAATAAAATAAATAAAAAAAAAAAAGACAAATTACAGCAAATCACAAGAAGAGAGAGAGTGTGCCAATCCCTCCCCCACCTCCTCCCCGCGTCTCCTATCTTGCACCGCCGGTGTGGTGTTCCTCCGAGCGGGAATATCCTTCCCGCTTCACTCCGTCCGGCCTAATATTTGCTCATTTTTGTTTCTATTTGCTAAATTACATTTTGCTCGTATGAAGGCTAAAGTTTTCCCCAACAATGCACATCAGGTCTCCTAAGAATTACACAATTCATAATGCACCTTTTTTAGTTTGCAAGAAAAACCACCTTACTTTCAAAAAAATTCATAATTACATTGCTTACTGTGTTTTCATGCTTACATTTATTCAAGTTAAAAATAAAAAAAATAAAAATAAAAATAAAAAATAAAAAGTCTAAAACTCAACTATTTTGAAGATGATTCATTAATTTACATTGATTCAAGTAATGCTTACACTAATTTCATGCCTACATTGCTTCAAGTAAAAAAGATTGTAGCACTTCTTGATTCACATATGCTAACATTTGCTCATTTATATTTTTGTTTGCTAAATTATGTTTTGCTTGTATGAATGCTAAAATTTTCCCTGACAATGCACATCAAGTGTGCTATGAATTACCCGGTTTGTAGTGCATTTTTTCTTAGTTTGCAAAAAATACTATTACACTTTAGATTTTTTTTACACTTTTGTTTAAAATTTCATTTTTCACATTTTATCCTTATATTGATTATCATATGTTAATCCCACAACAACTCAAGGAAAAAGGAATAAAAAAAACTAGTTTAACAGATTATTTGTAAATGTGAAACTTAAATCAAAAGGCCATATAACAAAATGATTGTCCAAAAACTATTTTTTATAATAATAACATTTTTCAAAGAATTAAGTTTAAAATTAATTAACAATAAAAATAGTTGAAAATCATATCACAGTATTACATTGAAAACAATGGTTAATAATGAAATTATCATCATTGATCGAAATTAAAAATGGTCAAATAAGTTACCTTTAGATTAAGCATATATATATATATATAATATATATATATATATATATATATATATATATATATATATATATATATATATATATATATATATATATATATATATAATCATAGTTAAAATAACATTAAATTATAAATTAAATATAATCTTATTAACTTACAACACATATGTAAAGATCATTTAGATGTTTCAGTTTTAATAGATGTTCATCTAAATTAAAAAATATATTTGTTTTGTTTTCAAACGCAATACACAAGCCATAGGTTTAAGTCATTGATATAATAGTTTCGATCAGAGGTGTGCAAAAATCCCGAAACCAAACCAAAAACCATAAAAAGAACCGTAATCGAATAAACCGAACCATTTAAAAAACCGATGGTTTGGTTTTTGTTTTTATAAAAACCGATTTTAGGTTCGGTTTGGTCTTTCTACATCTAGATACCAAAAAAAAAACCGAACCAAACCAAAATACACAAAATGATGTCGTTTTATATATAAGTATCACCCTATTAATAAAGTAATTCATAAAATAATAAGAACTAATATTCTATGGTGTAGGTAAAACGCGTATATGATAGGAGATCCTAAAGGGTTAAAAGTCTAAGAAGATTCAAATCACATACATCTCACATCGACTGTGAGATTCAAAAATGAAGATTTTTTGATACTATAAAAATAAAGAAAATAGTTAATTGGACCATCTCACAATGATTATTTGTAAATGAAAATGCACATAAAAAAAATAGGGAGCATCTTTTTTATTTTACAATAATTTTCATTTTGTTTATTGGATGTGACATATTGCATATTTGTATTGGAGTATATATATTAAATACGTACGAGCTTTTAAAATTCAATGAGCCGAGTCTAATAACATATTAATTAAAAAACCAAGAAACCGAAAAAACGAAATATAAAACTGAAAAACCGAAAAAAACCGATGGTTTGGTTTTTCCAAAATAAAAAACCAAACTTTTTGGTTCGGTTTTGGTTTTAGCATAAAACCGAACCAAACCAAACTATTCTCACCTTAGTTTCAATATATGTATACGTGATCATATAGTTCAAAAGAGTTATATTCTTTTATATGAATTGTATATAAGAATTGTTATGTAATAGTTATAACATGGTTATTTCCAGCAACATAATATATCATGCACAACAAGAATATGTACAACACGTAGGATTCACCTAGTATTTTTATAACATAATACAACATACTTCAATCTTCATTTAAAAAACAAATCGAACTAAAACACTAAAATAGATATGTAAGACTATATAATGATAAACCATTATTTTATTAATAAAGAAGCATATCAAATACATAATATTAACTAAATTTAATTTACAAGAAAAGTACAAACACCTCCATTTGCACCACTTTTAATTCACAAGTTTTGTGCCTTGAAGAAATGAAATACGTGTTGTCATGTAAAGTTTAGATGGTAAGTCGTATCAACTATTATTTCAAGCAAAAATTTCAGCTTTGGGCGTGTGTTTTACCATGTTCAGCTGTCACATAAATCTTAACTAGATTATAACCCGCGTTAAACGCGGGGAACGTATTAAAAAAATTACCAAAACATTTATATATATTGCATAATAATTATAAAAGAAAGTTTATAGCTATTGTTATTATTGAAAGGTGAAGAAGAAACACTGAAATCGATAAATAACTACAAACGTTGCAGGACCTCTTTGTAGACAACGTTTTTTGTTTTATTAGTTGAACGACATTCCTCGTCACATATGAGTACCTTCAAACCTTTTTTGCTTGTTACACGAGAAACAGCTACATATAACTGATCATGGGTGAAGACAGGTCTACGCAAGTATAATCCAACATTTGATAATGTCTGTCCTTGACTTTTGTTAATGGTCATAGCGAAACAAACTGCTATTGGGAATTGCCTACGTTGAAAATGGAATGAAATTTTTTTATCGGATGGGGTCAACTTCATGCGAGGTATATAAGTAGTCTCGTTGAAAAATCTACCATATATGATTCGTGCTTCAATGACGTGTCTTCCAAGCCTTATGACTTGTAATCTAGTACCATTACATAGTCCTCTGGTTTGGTCGATATTACGAAGCAACATGACCGGAACACCTTTTTTAGTATAAGTTTATGGTTGGGAATTCCGGAGGCCTTAAAAGCGTTCAACACATCCGAAGAGTATACCGATTCCTCAAAAGAATCTTCTGTCTCGGTCTCACATAAGGAATCTGAACTCAGATGTGTTTTCCCTTCATCTTTCATCAATTCTAACATGTAGTTGTTGATAGCATCAACTTCTTCATTAGTAGGGACCAAAATAGCTTTATCTTGAAAATACGATGGATCATCAAGATGGTTCTGAAAAGATGAATAAATGCAGGATACAATTGAATGAATATGGTCACCCGTAGAGGGAACGATCACATCTTCTGGAAATTCAACTTCAACTTCACCATCATTAGGACCACCGATAGTACCTTCACCAATTTTAAGAATCCAATCAGCAAATGATTTTGTCTCTTCGAAATCATTGTTTGGACAACCGAACTGAAGCCTCATGTTTACAGTCAAACGTAAAACTGTACATTCACGCCATAATCTTGATGAATGCAATGATGCTTGCACAATATCTGAACGATTTCCTCTTTGTATTACTGGAAGAATTTGTCGAAAGTCACCTCCAAATACAATGGTCTTGCCTCCAAATGGTTTATCATTGTACTTAGGAAGGATAATATATCTAAGTGTCCTATCAATTGCTTCGAAACAATGACGATGCATCATTGGGGCTTCGTCCCAAATTATAAGGCTCGCTTTGTTCAACAGGGCAACTACATCATTACCTGGCGTAATAGAACAAAACAAATTCTCATTCAAGTTAATTGGTATATGAAATATTGAATGCGCTGTCCTACCACCAGAAAGCAAGAGTGCTGCAATTCCGCTTGAAGCAACATTAATAACTACTTCACCTTTAGATCTAATAGCAGCAGACAATGTCTTCCAAACAAATGTTTTTCCTGTTCCTCCATAACCATAGAGGAAAAAGACACCACGTTTTTTTGTTGTTAACTGCATTCATAATTATATCATAAACATTTTTTTGCTCGACATTTAATTTTGAATGCAGTTGTTGATGTTCAGATTCAAGATTGGACGGATCATAATTAAGCTCATCTTGAATTAACATATTGCAAGAATCTTGAATATATTTGTGATCAGGTAATGGCATATTGGGTATTTGCTTAATACTCAGTCCATAGCTCAATAAAGATTTCTCAATGTACGACAACGTTAGGTGGTAAATTGCTTCCGGTTCTAGCTTCAAGCCTGAAAACATTAAAAAGTAATGAAATAATTTATTTATAATATCAATAAAGTGGGAACGTTTTTTTGTGTGAATGAACCTTTCACGCCCATTTCTTGTTCTCGAACGTGAACGACATCATCAGAGAGACAGTTATATGTCTCTTTAAAAACATGATGAGGCCGGGATAGACTATCTGATGTAATCAACATAACGAATAGAGATCTGCAGAAAGAAGCGGTGGCCCAATGATGTGTTTCTTGTATAGAAGATGTGTACTCTCTATCATCGTCTAATACACCACGAGCGTAGCAAGCATCTTTGTAAGAGTCATAAACGCTCCCGTTAACCGTTCTAATATCTTCATAGCAAGTAGGACCCTTTACTTTGTTGAGCAAAATGCGCAAGTAATAAACATCACCAAACTTGGGAGACACATGATTAATTCTGCCAAGTCACTTTTTATTTGTTTTTCTTCTTGTCCATACTTTATCTGATTTATTCCAAAACATATTGAGTTGGGAATTCAACATAGGATAACTCCCTTTCCTTTTCGTCGTAGCTATTACATTCCATCCGGGCCAAAAATTGAGAAGCAACAATAGTTGGTTTAGAAACAACATTAGTAACACGTTGGGATGGTTTAAACACAACAGGTTGTTTGTCTTGTAGGTGAAACGACAACCTTTCAACAGGTGGTGTTCTATAATGAATGTCATACCTAAAAAGTCCCCAACATGCCTGACAAGCAGAAATATAACGACAATTGTAATACTCAACAATTTCATCACGATCGTTATTTTCTTTATGTTGTTTTTTATTATTTTTGGCGTCGTAAAAAGACGCGGTAATCATGTATGGACCTTTGTTAATATACTTAAAAATGTACTTTATCGATCAAAAGCTGATTACACCACTCAAGATTCATATGGGTTTGGTATTGCTTCAAAAGTGTCTTATTATACGGAACAATATATCTGAAAAAAGAAACAAAATGTCATAAAAAAAATTAAGATCATTTAACATATATTTCCTATAAAAGATAAAATTTATAAAGAAATAAATGTTTATATAAATAAAAATTTAATTTTTATGCATATTGTCCAAAGAAACTCCGTTTTTCACGACATTGTTTCCGTTGTCGCGTCTTCGGTAAACTGGATAACCATCATCATCAATATATGTGTCATTTGTAAAGTCTTTTGGAAATCCTTTAGAACATTTGCCATTTTTCATACATGGCATAAATAGAAAATCATTGCGGCAAGGTCTATGTATCATGTTGTCAGAAACAATTTGATACAGATCTGGTTCAAGTTCCTTGTCTGGCAATTCAGCACATATAACGCGATCTATGTCTTCGGGATTTGGAAGTTTAGACTTTTTTTTCTAAAAATAGGCATATGTGACAATGTGGAAGACCCCTTTTTTGAAACTCGGTCGTATATATAAATGTATAGTGCAAATATGTACCCTGGTTAACGCATGATATTATAAAATCAAAATAAAATAAAATGAATAATGAGATTTTAGATTTATACCTCCATCGACTTCACCCAAAATTTTTTCTTCCTTGAGTCTAGTGATTAGTGAATCAAGTTTTATTTTGAATATTCTTGTCAAAATATCAGGCCTGTCTTCGGGTTTAAGATTTTCAGATTCAACGAATCTAATTACCTCTGGCCATTTAGGATTACATGCAGCAGCGGTTAAAAAAAGATCAGGATAACCAAAACACTTAACCAAAGTCATTGCGTCTAAGTAATTATGTTGCATGTAACGGCTGCCACCCGTAAAAGAAGACGGGATAATAATACGGTTTCCCATCGCAGAAGCATCTTCAGTTCCTTCTTGAGCAGCCTCGGCCAAGTCTCCATAAGGAGCGACACGTAATGTTGGTTGGTTAAACCAAAATATAATTTAGCCGGTCATTTTCAACCATTGTATACGAATCAACCAAAAACTGTTGGAAGAGTTTTCTGGAACGTAATATCAAAGATATTTCATTAGTTCTCTGTTGTATACGATAAGCAAAAAATTCTCGCATTGTCAGTGTTATTCGTCCTTTGGAGTTTTGTTCTTCAACACCACGATGTAATATATCCAATCGAAATCCATCTTTTGGCATAAAGGAACAATAAAGGATATTGAATGAAAGATATTGTAGATGCAACTCATTAATGCGTTGAAGTTGACGACTTTGAGTTTCCAAAACAATATGTCGTGAATCGGAACCGTCAATGTCACCTACAATAAGTGCAGCAACCTCACTTGTGGTAGGAAGATTATGTTGTCTACCGTCCTTTTCTCTTGTCCCAATTAATTTAAGCCAAATACGCTATGTTGGATTCGATCCAAATCGATCACGTGCCATTCTAAATTGCTTAACTAATGGATTTATAAAATCCAATAAACCCATTAGCTCATGAACAGTCAAGAACTCCAGTGAAAAATGATTTCCCATTGAATTATGAGATGTTGACTTTTTCTTTTTTGAACTACATTAATAGGAAAACAAAATCATGGATATAAATATTATGAATTGTGTGTGTGTTTGTGTGTATTTAATGCTATTATATGATAGAATGTATTTACATACTCGTATGCATTGAATCTGTTGTCAACCTCATGATCTGTATCGTATATATACAATTGGCAAAATTACGGTAATTCGCCTTCCTCTGGTAGTAAGCTGCCTGCAATATGATAATTTTGTCCATGCATTCGATAAACATAAGGACCACCTCTAGAGTTAATGGCATGATTAGTCTTACCAGCCATAGATGTAAATGCAAACATCATATTGTATCTACGAATATTTTTTATAAAGTTCTGACTTTTTTCATTTTTCAATAACTCTGCTATATATAAATCAAGCAATAACTGAGGTGGGTGAATCAAGTTTGGTAATTCTACTTTTCCATCGTAACAATATATGGAATAAGAGGTTTTCCTTAAATCTTTATTTCCTCTTATTGCTTCTCCCTTCCAAACCCTAGCTTTACATACAGAGCACATGTATACCGCATCACCAGAATTCAAATAATCTATAAAGAAACAAAAAAAAACTAATCAAATAATATATACTATAAGCGTAATATGAAAAGGGTGATAACATATTGAAAGGATAATTTTCATTGGATAACCAAAATTTTAAATTTTAAATAGAAAGAAACAGTACCTTTGCTTATGCCAATACATTTAGTCTGGGTGTCAATCCTTACATCATTTTAACCAACTGAATTATAAGGCACAAATGTTTGTTTCTTTTTTCTTGGTGCTGCAAAATAAACATAATTTAAATTATTAATAAGACGATGAATATTTATAAAATTAAGTGCAAAAATGTATAAGTTGACATATTAACAAAATAGATGAGAACATACCTTGGTAATCAACCTTATCAGTATAACTTCACGAAGGTTGAGAACGAATAGTAGTATTGTTTGATTTCTCCACAAAATCTTCATTCAAATCAAAAAAAAGAATATCCTTTGTATTGAACTGTTTTCGTTTCCCTCTTGTCGTTTTTGTTGTGTTATTTTCTTGAAACGTAGCACATTTTTTTGAAAAAATAATGATTTGATAAGATCAATGATTGTGTTGGTAATAATTGTGAAGTAACTTTTAAACGTGAAAAAAAGGAATAAAGTGAAATATAGTGAATGTAATTATATGATAAATAAAAAATAATATGTATTAATTAATAATGACATAATTTGAAATATATGACCATAGTTCAGATGGGTCTTGCCTGCGTTGAAAGTTGTTGCATTTTGAATTGTTTGGTGATTTGAAATTGGCAACGTACTTGAACTGTTTACAACTGTTCATTGGTAGTTTTTTATGTTAGTAAATATTGAATGTATTAAAGTTTTTATATTATCTAAATTTTTTAGGTAAACATAATAAAAAAATAATTATGAAAAACTTACCCTGACCGGTGATATGTGACAGTGGCAACCTTGAGGTAATTAATGAATGTTGCACATTTTGCCGTATACGGTTATGAGAGGATGATGTTGAAGGTGATGGAGTAACTTCCCGAGTAACTTGAGAAACAGACGTTATGAAGATACAATTTTCTGGAAAAAAAATTGAATTCTAAATGACAATGGAAATATGAATATGTATATGTAATATTAAAGTACATATATTGAAATTAAATTTATAATTAATTAAATACAAAAAATATAATAAGTAGTAATATAACAATAGGATAACTATTACCAGAGTTGTGATGCGTCCTTACATCCTTGAAAGTTGTTGCATTTTTGTTTGTTTGGACATTTGAAGTCGGCGACGTATACGAACCTTTTATAACTGTTTATTAGTATCATAACAGTTATTAAATTTGGAAAAATTAATAGTCTTTATATGGTTTTGACTGGCACTGCGAGAATGATATAAAAGTAATTATTAATAATTTACCCTGATTGGTTATTTGTGAAAGTGGCGACCTTAATGAAATTGTTGTAGGTTGCAAATTCGGTTGTAGGACGTTATGGGATGATGAGTTTGAATGTAATTCCGGGCATTTTCGAATAACTCGACAATTAGTGGGGATGTAGAAATTATTTTCTTCAAAAAAAAAATAAGTATGATAAAGGTGGATGAAATGAAAATATATTAGACATTAAATATGAAATTTAACGGGAATATATATTACATAAAAAGAAAATCAATAAATTATATGTATTAAACATCTAATGATAACATTAAATTAAAAGTTTACCGTTTGTGATGTTCAACAGTGGGGGCATGGCGATGTTTTTGATTTGGTTCTTCCATTGTTGGTATTCATATATTTTGTATACTGTAAAATGTAAGATGAAGTACATAAAGTTGGAGGGAAGAGTGAATGCATAAATGGATATCATAACATACCATAAAAAGTGATTATATAAAGAATGGAATTAAAGGATATTGGTGAAGAAAATAACGAATTAAAGTTGGTTAACAAATATAGATAGTTTACAATTTTTTTTCAAGTATGAATTATGGACTTTGTTTAAGTATGTGGACTTGCATTATTTTTGTATTTTTGGTTTATAATGAACTTTTATATATTTGTTTTCTGTTAGTTTTTTATATGCGTTTTGTTGACACAAATCTATTAAAATGAATACAATTACACTTTTGAATGTAAATAAAATAAACCTAATTAAAAACTATAAATCACGGAAAAATAAGTATAAACAATGAAATGCGTACATTTTTGCCTTTGATTAACCAAGCTAACAATTGTTTACTGATATAGAAGGTTGTAGAAAGAAAGAAGTATTGATTTAGTATCGTGAATATCAATATAAACGAAGAGGTAAAAACATAGATAAAACACAATAAAAACCCACTTTTTGCAGGAGCGTGGAAGGAAAAATAAAAATGGATTTTGGCGGAATATGTCATATATATGTATTGAATCCAAGTTGGTTTTGGAGGGATAAGATAAAAGTCATTTTTATCTTATCCCTTAAATGTTGAATTTCAAAATATAGTTAGGATAGATAATGTAGAACATTTTAGGATTATTTTTTAAAATTTAAAATTAGGATAATGTTCATGGTTAGTTTGGAAAAAATGATAATTTTTATAACAGCCCAAGAATATATTATTTACCAAATCGGCTCCATGACTTTACATTTAATATCAAACAGCCCCTACTACATATTATATATATATATATATATATATATATATATATATATATATATATATATATATATATGTATATATTAAAGTTGTGGAAGAAAGGAATAGTAAACTTGGGATACTTTGTCCAGGTTTGGTCCCTTGATTTACATATCCGGTCCCTGTACTTCTTTAATTAATTTATTCATGTCCTTTTGTTTGTGTTCCATTCAACTTCCCATTTTTTTGGCAGAATTGGTCCCTGTATTATTGTTGGGTTTGTGTTCCATTCAACTTCCCATTTTTTGGCAGAATTGGTCCCTGTATTATTGTTGGAAGTTAGGAATACTAAATTTGGATGTTTTTTGGCAACTTTGGTCATTATTCTTTACCCATTTTGACACTTTTGGTCCTTGCAATCAATATTTTTACACTTTTTTGGAACCTTTTAATATTTAAAGTTTGGCCACAAAACTTTAACGGTTTGACAACTTTGATCCCTTTTCTAAAAAGTTGCTAATTCCTACCCCTTTAATTCTTTAGCCATTTTCACACTTCTGGTCCTTGCAGTCAAAACTTTTACATTTTTTTTCCGGGGCAAAGTCCGGACTTTTCATCCTTACACTTTCTATGTCTGTCATATTTATCAATTCGGAAACAACATTGAAAGCTTCCGGCCCCCGCGTAGCGGGGGTAACCTTTCTAGTTGTTTATTATGTAAGCATTTTACTTTGAAAAGTGTACAAATTAAGACATTGTATTTTCATTTTCTTATTAAAGACACATTTCATTTGGAAAAGTCATGTACTTTATTCAATTATTTGTTTGTTATTGCAGGTATGCTATTTTTGTTTTTTTATAGAATTGCATGTCAACATAGTTTGTTACGAACAATAAAAAAATTTATTGTTATAAAATCTTGTTTGTGGAATAACAAACTCAGTGGCTTAAGCCAAAGATTAAGGAGATTACCTTTAAACTTAAAACAAATTGACAATAATAGACTTGGTCAACATAGTTTGTTATTTAAACTTAAAATAAATTGATAATAATAGACTTGGTCAACATAGTTTGTAACATAAGTTGATGCAAAAATATATCAAAAGATGTAAAAGTTAAAATTCATAAAAAGAATTCAACATAATTATGAACTTGTCTCAAATAACACGACTATTATCGTGTTATAATTAAATGAAAACAAACATAATCTTCAAAATGAAAACAACGTATTTGTCAAAGAAATCCTTAAGCAAATAATAAAAACTCAAAGAAAAATCGTCAATGATAAATGGCAAATAATCATAACTGCTAAATTTATTCGAGTTTTTCTATTTTTGGAATCTTAAGGGTATTAGGAGCAACACCATCTTTTGAGGAAGACCATTCAAACGATTCAGTGGTGATAACAATCTCAATAGGGCGTTTCAGTGAAGTAGTTGTCGGTGTCACCGCATCAAGATCAACACCATTAATATTGTCACCTTCAACAGAAACACTCTTTTCCTGTATCAAAGTAATAAAACAATGTTAATTAACAACATTAATATTGTCACCGCATCAAGAATAAATGTTTATTAACAATGTTAAAATGTTAAATTATATGAATTTAATTTTACCTTAATAGAATTGTTGATAGGAGTACCATCAGAATAAATATTGTTCTCTTCGTATGCAGGTGAATGTTTGAAAACCGCACCAACTACAAGTTCATCATTAGTCATCTTATGAACGGTGTAGGCGTGCTAATTGTTCTCGAGATTAAACTTTGAAATCTGAACTTTAAAAACAAACTTCCTATTAAGCATTGTGTTGAACTCATCGGGGATCTTTTGGCGCCCTTGATCCTAAAGAATATTATAATAAAACATGTGAGTAGTTAATAAATCACGATTAAAATAAAATGCAATAACAATATACAGTTAACTTGTCGTGTGTACAAATTAATAGAAAGTATAATATAACGCTACCTTTGATATATTTTCCATCAACCAATGATTACCGCGGTGAATAAGATCTTTAACATGACGGTCAAACAATACAAAAGAAGCAGACCCAGTTTCATCTTGAACACGTATTACGACCCTTACCCTAAATATTATTGTATGACACGTTAATGGACAATGAAATAAAAATTGAAACATTGTAATAAAGATTCATGAGACAAGAAGTTTACAAATGTAAAATTATGAACTTACTTGCCGAATACATCAGAAACTCCTCCGCAACCATTACAATTAAATGGTTCACCACCACTATCATCACCATTTTTAGTTACCTTTTTTGAACAGTCACGACAATAAAAAGAATACCATCATTCCTCCAAATCGAAACCGATTATAGTAGCAGTGACAGACAAACCAATTTTCTGATTGGTATATATATATATATATATATATATATATATATATATATATACACACACACACACATTAAAAAAATTGTTATATATAATGGAAAAATATGAATAATATTAAGTATACCTCATTGTAATCTGGAATATCATCAATGTTTTTGATTTGAAAACGGAGGTAGTAATCTTCTGGCTTGGCCACAACAGTTTCTGTGTTAAGTTGTGTAGTATTAATGGAAGACTCAATATTCAAATCGATATCAGCAATGCTACATATAAGAAGGAAAAATGAAGAAGATCAACAATAATAATAATTATTGATTAAGAATAAGTAAAAATAAAACAGTAAACAATTATATCATAGTCATCAAATACATATGCCTTTTTAAATTCTGAAATATGATGCATATCATCATTAATATGCAATCTCGACCCAAATAAACAGTTACCGACTTGTGGCTGACCTATAAATAGCAATTGAAGTAATAGATTATTTCATATTATAAATAAAATATTAATGTAATGAGCATAGACATCTAAAAATAAATTTTCTTACCACCCCAAGTCTTGAGCTTTGTCATACGTAAGAGGATGATCACAGGAGCATTTTCATTTTGATGTTCATATATGTAGCTGTTCAACTTCAATGCAAAACCATCCCACAAAGCAACTTACATTTTCCTACCACTATAATTGATTGTTTGGGTTATATGAATAAAATATTAAACATGATAAATTAATGAAAAATAAAGAAAAGTACCTCAGATCTTGTGCAACAATACTCATTAGCCTTGTTTCCCTTGCATTCTCCTTAATCCCTCTCATGGGTTCAGTAGATACAACTTGACCAATAAAATCTACAAAAAGTAAATTTGAATCAATTATTATAATATAAATTGGTTAAAAATATATATAATATAATAAATGCAAAAATGTTAAGGGAAAAAAACTCACCAAATGCAACACGAGTGTCAAAATTTCTGGCTGTCAGATCATGAAAACTCACAAAATTAAAAGGATCGATCCTATCAACAAAAGGAGTTGATACACGAATTGTGGTTGTTTTGTAGAAATTTATCTTATGCTTGTGAGCAACCAACATGTAATCTCCTTCGTTTCTGGCCATACCAAAGTTAGTGATTTGCCTTACAGCGCCTTCTTCCAGGAGGGCTTGAAATGCATTTATATGAGATTTTTTTTTATTGTTGCATGTATTCTAGTGCCCTGTAGGTGATAAAGAATATTATTATATGAAACAAAAATAAAACATAAGTTTTTTTCATATTATTTTAATCTTACCTCTTGGTCCATTAAAATCATGTCCAACCATGTTTGGGTTGTTTTTTTATGTCTGTTTCTAAATCATGACAACTTGAACACGAATATTCCATGATTCTTTGGAGGCATCTATGTCAGCCAGCTTATGAATGACGATTTCACTGTCACTGTTATGTCCCATTTCGCTTGTGCTATGAGAAATAGAAAAGTATTAGAGATAATTATGAGATATAGTGAAAAAAGTAATTCAAAGATTCACAAGGTTTTTGTTTAATGTAAATATGATGTTGTTCAATTAACATAGACATTCTTGGTTGGCATACTTAACCATGAAAAAACTAAAATAAACATTAATTGTATTTTGCAAAATAATAGTTGGCTGCAATTATGGATTAATGGAAGTAGGATGATATCAAATCAAAACATAGATAGTATGTTGATATATCTCACAGGAAACAACAAAGCAAAAAAATGAGTATGAACACTTATCATATAGAAGGTTGTAGAATGGAAGAAGTATTGATAAACAATAAAATGCATACCTTTTTGCCTTTGATTAACCAAGCTAACAATTGTTTACTGCTATAGAAGGCTGTAGAAAGGAAGAAGTATTGATTTAGTATCTTTTAGCATTTTGGAAGTACCATGTGTTGCATCATGAGTGAAACTTTCTATAACAAGGGAACAACTTCATTACTTAAAAAGAACTTTGACTTAGAAAAATGAAAACTCAAACCAAAGTTTCCAACAAATACCATGTTACAAACTCTAATTTCATTTTCAAAAATCAAAATGATACACATTACATTATAAAATTTAAACAGGCAACAAAAGAAGGAAATAGTTTAAACCCTAAATAAAATTATTACTTAAGAACAACTTTGACTTAGAAAAATAATGACATAGGGAGGAAACTTCTTTAGAAACTGGATAAAACAAAAACCAAGATCAATAACCCTCAAGTCATCCTGCAAACACATTAACCTAAACTAATGAACAACGAATTTTTTTTTTCAAAAAATGAAACCAATAGCTTTGATGAATGGAAAACAAACTGTGATTGAACAATGTCAAAGCAACTAAACTCAAAATACTTAAAAGAGTAAGAAAAGCTACTGAAAAACCACAATAAACTAGGATATACCACATACAATACAATTATGATTAAACGATATCTAGCCAAAAAGAGCAAGAAGAGGTAAACAATCGATGAAAAACATGTGTGTTCTTACACTGAGAGTAATTGGCATGCATTCAATTCTATGGGAGAAAACAAGAACATCCCTAATAAGGAGAAAGAGATAACTAGTGTTTAATATATAATCATGATAAATATGAATATATATGAAAAGAGTTGATATTATTTGACTAGTCAACACAATAGTACATTGTCCTTTTCCCATGCCAATTTCATGTGGAGAAAGATAATGGTGAAAGCTCTTGAAACTTATGCGGGTGTATAATAAACATTTTATATTGATTATGGACGATTTCTAAAACTAGGTTAGAAAATTCTCACAAATGGCCCAATAGACGATTTTTGTAATTTACTCTAAAATCAAATATATGATTCTAATTTTACAATGACAATATACCAAAAGCACATGGTACGATTTATTCTTATGGGTACATCTTAAAGAGAAGAATACTAACTGATACATAATAAAAAAAAAAAAAAAAAAAAAAAAAAAAAAAAAAAAAAAAGATCAAATGGTTCTCCAATTTACAAACACCTCTACCTTAAACCCTACCCCACAATTCCAAAATGACACAAGATTTTAATTCAAGTAAACAACACCATAACCAAAAAAAAAAAGATCGATCAATTTGATGCTCATGTTACACATGTTTGTGACAAAAGCCTACAGCCTTCCTCCCTAAGAAAAAATCTTGCCCAACAAGAACGACACTTTTTATGAGCTTCAACTTGCCAAATGACGAAAACGCCCTTTTGAGATCAACCAAATGAAGAACACGTGCGAGAATCTGTCTTGATTCTCCGAAAATTGCAAGGTTTAAATGCGGGATATATGTAAACCAGAGTGCAATAAAATTGGATACCATATTTGGATAAAGGTAAAGAAGTGTTTTCAAGAAGATGAAGAACAAAGAAAATAATAGATAGGGTTCTGATTTTGTGCATGATTCAAGAGCTTTTGATTTGCTTTCTGGGAATCCGATTTCATCTTGTGTTAAGTCAATTAATGGCTCAAGTCCTGAAAAAATGAGACCCCATTAACCAAAAAAGAAAGTTAAATAAAGAGGTATTTAGTTCTTGATTACAAACCCTAGTGGCATGTATGTAAATATGAAATGATACCTGTGGCTTTTTCATAGAAGTGGACAAGTGATTGTAGTTCTTTTGAACCATGATGTCGGATTCTAGTGGTTTTGTTGATGATTAGAATTGAAGGAACACCATGAATACCAAATCTTGAGAAAACACTACATGGGAAATTTGTAAAATGTTAGGACTTAATAAGAAACTGTTATTTATAACTTGCTGGATTTTAGTGTAGTATAACTTACATTGGTGGAACTGAAGATTGCTCAATCATTACATGATTAATTTGTGGAAACATTGAGGTAAGGGCATCGAATTTGGGTAGGAAATTGGTGGAAAATGGACATGAAGAAGCATAGAACAATATGGCTACATGTGCATTCATATGACTTGAGCTTAAAACCTTGTCAAGAGACTCTCCATTCATCTGTAAATTGGACACAATGAAGCATCAATATTCAATAGGATATTTAAAAATGTTTACACACATGGAGGATTTTTGAAATGTTCACTGTTTTTTAAGCCACTTATTGCACTTAAAACTTGTTGTATACTTGTATGAAAGATGAACGACATAAGGAAGGTTTCAATGGTTACTTTGGTTATATAGGTTAAAAGCGATTCTGATACATCCCCAAAATCATTCTCTCAGAGCAAAAAACAGGTAACTTTCGAAGATTATCTCTGCATACTGATAATCAACGCATTTTTACTAAACACATATAAAATCAAATTCGAATGTGGCATCGATAACAGCTTCGAAACACTTTGGAACAAATGCAACATTCAAATCAGAAGTGCCAGAAACCAAATTTGAGGAAAAATCCAATTTGATTATAGGAATGTTATGAAATCAGAACGTGCATCAATTTGTTGATAATGAATATAAAACGCGGAGTTGTGTAGAGTTTTTGTACCTTGATAGGCGAAGAATACATAATCGTTGTAGGGCATTGAAGCTGTAGATCATGAAGAAACGGCTTGATTTGAGGACACGTCTGGGATGAGGAGGCGAACGAAGAAAGCGGCATCATAATAAGCATCAACAACAAAGAAAATCTCATCCATGACGCCATTTTCAATCAATGGAAGATTATCCCCACTCTCAATCAAATCTCCTCTTTCGTGAATTCCAGCTGTTGAAGTCCGTAAAATTCTTTACGATCTATATGTATACGGTTATACACAATTCTCTATCCCTATACCACTTTTCGTCAACGAAAATGGAGCCTGGGGAAGCGAAAATCTCAAGGCTTTTGCTCGTGTTCGTGATGATTTGGGGAAATTTAATCCAAGACTTCAAGACATCCATAAAGAAATATTGCCATCTGTTTTTTGTGAAAGAAAATTAGGGCTCGAGAATCGGGTCTTGTGCTTCATTGACCGCAGCAGGCAGGTGCTGAGGTGGCCCAACGACATCCGGATCTGAAACCCGATCCAACTATTTATTGGGCACGTATATAATATAGACTATAGTAGTACATAAAGGCCCATAAAAAATATATAAACTCATATTAATACAAACGAACGTTGGGGTTTTCGATTTCTAAAAAAAAAAAAAACAGGTGTTTTTTCACATATCTTGAGTGGTCATTACGAAAACATATATTGAAACTAAAACTCTCGTAAATCAGTTGATGAGACTTGAATCTGATATTTTTACAAATACCACGCTTCGAAACCAAATGATACGACAAAGGATGATAAGCAAGTACCTGACCAATTTTAGTGGAACTGGAACCGACGGTTTTTAGGATGTTGGAACCGAAATCGGAACCGGTTACATCGGTTACTAAATTTCTAGAACCGCTCCGGAAACTGGTTCCGGTTACCGGCTTGCTAAAAACTTTAAAACTATTTTAAGCCAAAAATCATATTCTTAACGATCGTCTATTTAGAGACCTCATAACCATTGTTTTGAAAACTTTAAACCTTGTTGTTGTTAGACAACATGCCTAAATACTCCAACTCATTTAAAGTTTTTTTCAATCCAAAACTTCATGTTGGAGTGGGAATGAAATAAGGAGCCTTCTCTTTTATAAACTAAAAAATATTCAATCTTTATTGCACCAAGCAATATGGGATGAATCAATGAATCAACAAATTGAGATTTTTATTGGGTAATACAAGTCTTCATCCTTGAATATTAGTAACTATTTTTTTAAAATGTTATATCCTATAAAATCTATGGATTAAAAAACCCACCAAATGAATCTGAACAAAACAAATAAATTTATGACTTGCGATGCTTATAATGGGTCTAGAAGGTGGAAAATTCAGCTGGAAAAAATTACACCAAACACCGAGAGCTTCTTCTTCACTAAGTAACACTTAAAATCCCACAAAAGTTCTCAAGAATATGCAAGGAGGCTAGGTACGTTTCAGAGGATGGAGGTTGAGAATGACAACAAACCCTAAATGTTAGTGCCTTTATATAGGTCTTAAACCACAAAATTAGGGTTTTGTACACATACCGACGTCGCGTCGCGACTTAGCTCTTGGTCATGTCGCTACTTAACGACGTGGCTCTTCTCACACCACTCAAAACTTGCACGACGATGTACCAAAAACTCCTTTTTTCCAATTTAAAATATATCAACTTGATAAACAACTCATACTTGGAAATTGGTGTTCCATTTTTTTCATGTTCTTGACTATCTATTTTACAATAATCATATACTCTTCGTGATACATTGTGCTCTTCAATTTGTGTTTCTTTAAGTTCAATTTCTTGTTAGAAACTTGAATATTGGGTTTTGTTGACTTTCGAAAATGGAAATGATATCGACGTGTCATTTTTCATGTTATGAGATTAAATACTTGCATTAATTCGAAATTTATGTTTTAAGCGTTAAGCATATCACTCACATTTAAACTTATTGTAACTTATGAATTGATTGATGGAGACATAATTTTCATTAAACTTATAATCATTTCTTTTGGTAAAATCTTATGATCCTTACTCGATCTTATAATCACGACCTCGTAAAGTGGAAATGATCATGATTAAGCTCTCGATGTTGACAACCTTGTCAAAACATTCAAATGTGCAATAACATAGATAATCTGGTTCTAGGCGATCAAGTTACAGCACGTGTAGAATGATTGGTGGGTGGTGGTGTGTGCTTATACAACAGTCACATTCGAAGCATGTGGGTTATTATATAAACATAGCATTCATTATACAAACCCGAAGCTATACAAGCCTAGAATATCGACACAACTCCAACAATCCTCATTCCCAACAAGGAGTGGTCAACCAACAATAACAGAACCGCCTGAACCATGCATGCACTGTGATCCTTGAATAGCCCACAACCACTCCTGCAATGGCCTTTCTCTTCCTGGTGAATGCTACGACTCCATCACAAACTTACAATACTTCACCAACAACCTATCAACCTTGTGAATGCTACAGCTACCCCGTAGTCTTACAATACTTCTATAACTACCTATCAACCTTGTGAATGCTACGACTGTCATGTAGTCTTACAACACTTCCATAACTGCCATGGACCCAACCCATGGTTTTACCGTTCATCTACCATACCAAACCATAAACATCATGAGTCGAACATGCATCCAACTATACCCTAATCAGGTGTTCGGGTTATGCTTCGAACCCCAAAGCCTTTATTAGACAACAACTGGCAGAGAGGCTCTAACACAATCCATACACCTGAATCCTCATTCCTTGTGCACATCTCAATCCGTACCGCAACTAGAATTGGATCTCTGCTTGCCTGAGATATAAAATTCCTCCTTGTTTCGCACTTGGAATTATTCCAGTAATCCAAACGGTTCTCCGCTACTTGGATTTAACTGCACTCTGTCAGCCCCATAATTAATGGACTTCCGAACCATGTCACAACCTTACTATTTCGCTCCTATCATCCTGAGCTCCCATGAACTAGGATTCCAAGACCATACAAACTAGGGTACCCACACTCCATACCAGATTAAATGATCTGCTTCCATAAGCGCTTCCCGTGATACAATTCCAAATCTTTGAGCCACTTCAGCTGGTGACCAAGAACTATAACCCTCGACCGAAATAGACGGATCACCAATCCAACTATCCACTAGCCGAGAAAATCGATGCACTCAGAACATATCTAACAAAGTCCATTTAAATCCTTTTGACAATCCCAATATCTGAACAAACCCATGTGGTTAATTCATAACCCACACTCTGGAGTGATAGTTCACTACTGCTCTTGCCCTACCGGCAGTAGCAATTGATTCAAAGCCTGTCAACAACCAGTTGACATCCATCCTGAGAAACACAAGTGCTCCTGAATTCTGACTTTGTTGTCCCAAAAGGGGACAACCAGCTTCCATGAGATCTTTTCCTAAGAGCTTCTGATGCAAGGATCACACTCACAAGTCCGAAAACATGAGCCTAACAGCAACTCCCTTGAACTCACTTTCTGACCAATCCCTTACACCTCCCAATCATGACATATTTCACCAATTCGTGTTCTAATAATCTAATAAACTTACTCTGCATCTCCTTTCGACCCACTGTGCTGAAACAACACATCAATTCAGCTGCTGATTCTCTGAGCAGGATACTCAGTTCACTCAAGGGACCGCTCTAATGATGGTTGGCGACCTAAATCCAACTCCACAAGATGTGTTTCCAATCATGACTCTCAGCATGCAAAGTGGCATATGACGATCAACCGATAATAATAACCAGGAAATCACATAGAAACTAAACTGAAAATAACATCTCACAAATACGAATGCAAGATTCAGAAGCATATACATAAATAAATGATATAGCATGAAGAAAACGAAAATTGAACATACCCACGATAGCATCGAATGAAACTCTGGCCTCCCTGCCTACAACTGCAATGCCCGGATCCTCACTGCTGGAGCATCTGCTCTGCCCTCGCAACCATCAGCAATCCTAAAAGTAATTGGAGCAGGTGCACTCACTGCTCCACTCAACAACCACGGATAGTTGGCCTTCTTGCGGCCTACTACTGATTGTAGTGAAAACACATCGGAATCGAGCCTCGAGGACAATCCCTGCTAAAATGACCAGTCTGAACACAACTGAAACAACCCTTTCCTTTTCATGACAGCTCCCCTCGTGGGTCCTCCCACACTTGGCACAACGGCCTCGACCCTAATGGCTTCCCAATCGCAAATATTGAATCTTGGGCCTCTTCACCTGGCCCACTACGGTCTGAATTTGCTCTGATCCGCACTTCAACCGAAGCTGCAACTCAATCTCATGTTCCCAGGCTCTAGCAATCATATCCTCTAAGATCTTGCAGCTGGACATGCTCACAAATTCCCTAATATCGTATCGTAACATATCATGATACCTCGTCTTCTTCATCTCCTCGTCCGCAGCGTACTGCGGAACCAATAAAGTGATGGGTTTTAGGTACAACAAATAAACTAGAAAACAATTCCTAAGTTCACATGCAACCTACTTTGGATCTATGTTTTAACTATTGAACATACAACTTTGAATTGCAAAACAAGAACCCTAGAGGAGAGAGGCTATTTTCGAAAATAGTAAACTAGGGTTTAGGAGTTACATACCTTTCAATTGTTATAGCAAACAATTGATAATCCTCTTGATCTTGATCTTGATCTTGATCTTCTTGGAAGCTTAGCACCACAAATGTAATGCCTCTAATGGAATCACACCCAAGAACTAGCAAGAAGGAAACTTGGAGGAGAGAGGATGGAGAGAGTATGCAATTTCGGCCTTAGGGTTTCTTCCAAAGAAATCAGTACCCAAAATGTGAGCCAGGAGGCTCCTTAAATAGTTGAGGGAACTAGGGTTTAGGGAAAACCCTAGTTATCCTTTGCTTAGGGCCTAAGCAAGACCCAAGGCCTTATCTTGAACCCCTTGGACGAATTCTCCAGGGTTTCCCCTAGGGTTTTCGTCCACCCCCTTCCAAGGGAGTTCTGGATCCTTCCACTCAACTATCAGTTAATTGCAAACTAGTCCCTGCACTTTATAATTAATTCTTTTAACCCCAAAATCAATTCTGATTAATTTCTGGCTAACAATTAATTAAACATAATGATTTCTAATTAATATATTAATCCATTAACATATTAATAAATCATTTATATATATATTAATTTATTAATCTTATAAATTAATATCTCTCCTTTCATAATTTCCTTGTCCAGTTACCTGGTGCACTATCAACCAAATTCCAAACTTGGTTGTCATACATGGACTTAATCTCGCTATCCATTGCCTCTTTCCACTTGGAAGCCTCTGGGCCTGCCATTGCGTCCTTATAAGTGACTGGTTCATCTAAGTTTACCAGTGTTCTGTCACTTATGAATG